CGCCCGCGGCTGGGGACCCGGCGCAGAGGCCAGCGCGCCGAGAGCGAGCGGGCAGGCGGTGGGCGGCTGCGGACCCGCGCCGGGGCCGAAAGTTTCTCTGCCCGTCTGCCGCTCCGGCGAGCCAGAGTTGCCCTCCGCGGGACCTGCCCGACCCGGCACCTCTGCAGAAAAAGAGACAGGGCGCCACTCGAAACACTGAAAATCCAAACCTGCAGCCATCGGCAGCCAGCCCCGGGGCGCAGGGGAACAGGTAAGGTGCGGCAGACCCGAGGTCCCGCTCCTCTCCCGCGCAGTGTCCCCGGCAGTGCCCGGGGCTCCGCGGCAGGGAAAGCGGCGTGCCACTCCGGGGGTGAGTCCGCGCGTCTGTCGGTCTTTGTCTGTCTGTGTCAGCGTCTGTCTAGGTGTCTTTGTCTCTGTCAGGGGGTCTTCCCCTCTGCCACCGCGGATGCTCCAGATCTGGTCCCAGCCGGTAGGAAAGGATGTGCGTCCATCAGTCAGTCTAGTCTTTGTCTAAGTCTCTGGCAGACCGGGGTTTTTCTACTCCCAATCCTGAATTTGATGTGGAGACATGTGTTAGGTGACATGAGGATGAAGGTGAGGAATTGGAAGGCGAGGAAGTGAGGCCGCAGGAGATAGGACCCAGAAAGAGGATTTTAAGGTTGGCCAGTGAACTTTGCAGGCTGGAACTTTGAAGATGCGTTGTGTCCGCTCTCTTAGAGATGACACAGATGCACTTGGAGGCTTGGAACGACTCCCTAAAGGAAGTCACAAAGACGGAGGAGCACAGAAAGGAAGATGATTAACTGGGGTGTCTAAGTGCCCCCCACCCGCAGCTGCAGGTCAGCAGGTCATTGCTGTGTGAGCAGCTGAAGAGTGGCTGGCAAATCGTCACATACCCTGTTCAGTCCTTTTCCTCTCTCACCACAGGGGGTCAGGTCCCCTTTCCCTCTCCAGTCAATCCTGCTTCAGGCTTACCTCAGTAGCAACAGGCACCCACAACACCGAGGGCCAGGTGATGTTTCTCTTTCTGGCTGCAAGTGGAAGAGATTGAACTGTGGAGCATGTGAGTGCTCTGCTCGCCCACGGGTTGTCAGGCCTGAGAAAACGCTGCAGAGTCCTCAATTTCCCATGCGCAAGGGATGCTTAGGGATTCAAAAACCTATGCATTGTGCGGTCAGCCCTTCTGTTCTGGTTTTTGAGTTAGTTGCTGGCCAACTGATGAGGAGGCACTGAGTTCTGAACAGCCCTCACCCGGGCTGCTCCACCTAAGAGTCCTCTCTGTGGCTGCTATTAGATAGAGCCTCAGAGTCCAGCCACAGAGAGATAAGCTCCTGCTTGCAGTCCTTTCCAGCACCCAGACCCTGGAGAGGAGGCTGCTGGTAGGGGCATTTGAGGGTTTGTAACCTGAGCTTCCTCCAAGTTCAAAAACCATTTTCTGCAGGCAGAGGGGAAAAAGGAGGTGTCTGAAGGGTGTATGCATGTGGGTATTAGAGTTAGAATTTACAGGGGGGAGGGGGAAGAGTGCACAAGGTTGGCAAAGAACACAGTGTGGGCAGAGAATATACCCTCATCAGGTGTGGTCCTGCACCTTGTATTTATCCAGCCCTTTCTTCTGACCACTTTCTGTGCATCATAGACGTTATCTCATTTGTTATCTCCTTTGTCCTCAAAGTATAACTACCAGGTAGGCATGAGATGTGATCTACTGAAGACATGGAGCCCCCACCCCCACCCCAAAGGGAGAGGTGTTCCCTGAAGTCACACAGCTAATGGGAGCCAAGTCAGGTATTCACGAGGTTCAAAAAGCAGGTCTTAGCTGGGTAGATGTGAGTAATGAGAATTCACCTGCTGGAGGTGAGAAGAAAGCCCGTAGTATCTTTCTAGGGGGTTCTATGCAAGTGAGAAGGAGGAAGAGACCCTTGCTGTTGCTCAAGATGGTTCTTTAGTAGGGGCCGGGGAGATGGCTCAGTGATTAAGAGCACTGGCTGCTCTTGTAGACGGCCCAGGTTCGATTCCCAGCACCCACATGGCAGCTAACAACCATCCATAACTCCAGTTTTGGGGGAATTTGACGCCCTCTTGTGATCTCTGTGAGCATTGCATGACACATGTACACTTAACACACATGCAAGCAATACACACATACACATAAAAATAATAAATTTTTTTTAAAAGATGGTTCTTTAACATTTCAAGCAGTCTTTGAGCACTGGGCAAGGCAAACCTGCTTTAGCAATTCAATCTGCAGTTATATGACTGAAGAAGGTGGCTCTGTCTCTCTGTCTGCCTCAAATGATAGCAGGGGCTGCCATATAAGAGGTGTGCTTGGTGGAATGGGCTAGGCATTGCCAATGCTCTGAGAATGTGGGCAAGGGCCCAAGATTGCCATGCAGTTTTGAGAAGCAAGATGTTTGCATGTATGAGTGAAAAAGTAGATGGGCTTTCTAAGCAGATAAAAATGGCCTTCTAATCCTGAACACTTATTTATATACCTCTGTGCTTATTTAACATTCATTCCACAAGTTTTCATTGGATGCTACAAAATGCCAAGTCTCTGGGCCCTGCAGTGAAGTTCAGCGATGAGGAGGGTAGGTTAGGATTCCAGCTAGTTAAAAGAGTGCTTGCCTAGCATGCAGGAAGTACTGGGTTCCATCCCCAATGCCATCTAAAGACTACATATGGTGGCACATGACTGTAATCAAACCACTCAGGAGGTAGAGGGAGGAAGATAAAAGTTCAAGGCCAGCCTGGGCTACCTGAGACTCTGTCTCAAAAATTTAAAAACCAGTAACGAAACAACAACGTTTAGAAAAATTGATGTGCCAGGTGTGGTATCACACACCTTTAATCCCAGCGCTTGGGAGGCACTTGTGATTGAGACCAGCCTAGTCTACATAGCAAATTCCAGGCCAGCTGGGGTGACAGGGAGACATTGTCTCAGAGGGAAAAAGAAATCCAACAACAAAAAACCCATGATAAATGAGAGAATGATAAAGAACCCAAGTAGCTGTGAGTCAACTAGTGTGTGGACCATATTGTGACAACGCTTAACCCCATCTGCTAAGTACACAGGATGCCCAGTACTTTTAATTCTTTGTCTCTTTCAAGTCTCACTGTAGCCCTGCCGGGCATACATGACTACCAGAGGAGTGTTAAGTAACTTTGGTCAGCCAGAAAAAGGATTTGGACTCATGTCAGTAGATGGTCTCCTGCTACTATTGACCACAAGCACATCGCTTCTTCTGGGTCAAATACTCTTGCCCTGCCCACTCCCATTTCTCCCCAAATGTAGCCTCCCCACTTGTACCATGGTTTGGTTGCTTAGTATTTTTTGTGCGGCTCAGAATAGAACCCACGTCCTTGGGCATGCTAGCCAAACACTCTACCACTGAACTACAGTCTCCAACTTTTGCATCATTGTTTTAACCCTAAGGATTGGCTCCTCTAGGAAAGTACTCATCCTCCCCCTATCTTTTTCTTAAGTCGAGATCCTGAACCTTCTTCTCAGTTACTACTGCCATTTGGTGCTGTTACCACACTGACACACTAGCTCCCCCAAGAACTACAAAGTTCCAGAGGCAGAGCCTATGCAGTGAATTCCTACCTAGCTCAGGATACAGTGTCTGGCTGTTTGGTTTAGGCCCTTAGTAAGTGCTTGTTCAACAAAGTGATGGAAAAAGGAGCATTGGCAGAAGAGCCCTGTTTGCGATGGTGGATTCTGCATGGACACACTTTGCTGGCATGGCCTGTCCCTTCCTGTGCTGTGTTATAAGGCCTCTGCCTAGACAAGGCTGCTCCATCCCAGACCCTGCCTCCAACAGTTCTAGAGCCTAGGGAGACCTAACCCCACCCACTTCATCTCCAGGTTTATCAACCACAAGAGCAGTTGTAGAAGGGGAAGATACTAGACCTGAGTTAGACCTGGGGTCTAGAGTTGTGGATTCAGAACCTCAGTGGCAGATAGTTCCAAGGCAATCATGAGGGTGTTTGCCAAGAAAGAAGTAACCAACTGGCTGGGGACTCTTCAGGCCACTTGCATCTTAGCTCTCTGAGTTTGCCTTTGAGTGAATCTTCTTGTTCCAGGTTGGACTTTGGACTCGCTCAGCCTGCTCTGGGGAATGAACTGCTGTCCTGTTTGGGGAGGTCACATGGGGAGGTCACGGCTATCTTCCTGTGCTCTTTGTATCACATTATGAGGGCAACATGTGCTCTCAGGCATCTATGATCATTTTAATTTTTCTTTCAAAGATCATTACTCAAGTTTGGAAACCTGCATTTCACTAAATTTTTAGTTAAAAATTGTTTTGAGACATTTTTCCTCTGCTAGTGAGGGGCTTACAGGCATGTGCCACTATGCCTGGATTAGGTGCTAGAGATCAAACCCAGGACTTCATTCATGGCAGGTAAGTGCTCTACCAGCTGAGCTACCAGCCCCCATTCACTTTGTTAAAAGTCTTGTCCATGTGAAGGGCTAAAGAATATATGTGGTTATTTTGTGGTTATTTTTCTAAAAGGTAAAATAATGCCCTGAGGCTAAAATTTGCACTGATAATTGGGAAGAGGAACCAGTACTTATGAATTGATGACAACATTGAAAATGGGACCACACTAACTTTAATACAGCAGTTGCCAAGCAAGATGGAGATGAGCTGGAGATGGCAGAGGTGGTTGGGAACTCATCCTGGAAGAGGACCCTAAAGAGGGTATAAAGAGGGTGGGTAGAATAACAGGTAATGTCAGAATTCCAAGATGCCAGCTGAGAGCAGAGGAGATGGAACTTTTTCTTTCAAGAACACTCAGGGAAGTCTGATGCCTCCCTCCAGACAGAGCTGGTGAGTGGAAAGTGGGAGGTAGCTCATCTGTCGCCCGTCAGTGCGACTAGGTAGGAGGCTGTGGCTAAACTCAGTCCCTGGCTGGGCTGTGCTGGGCTCCCAGGCCCTTTGGCAGAGCCATCTTTGTAGGATGGTCTTTCCATCTGGCATCTCCCATTCTCCGGCTTCCTCTGGGTCCTGACTGCCATCTCCCTAGATAGTTCCAGGGTAACGATAAGGTTGAGAGGACTTGCCAACCAAGAACTGTTCAACTGCCCCAGGAATCTTTAAGCAGGTTATAGCCAACCTCCTTGAGCTTCCTTTTTGCTTTTGTTTAGTTTTGAGACAGGATCTCATGAAACCCAGGACGGCCTTGAACTGTCTGTGTAGTAAGAGATAACCTTGAAATCCTGATCCTCCAGCATCCATCTCCCAAGTG